GCTGCCAGTGATTTGACCAGCTGAGTTGCAGGTGACACCATCAGCAGGCCTAAGTTGAGCTCTGACAGCCAGTTCACACCACTGCAACTTTTCTCTGTAACGTTCTAAAACTGATTCGTCTCATCGCGAATCTTTGGTCTGAACTCAGCTTAAAATGCCATTCTAAGGATTTCCAAATTCTGCATCAGGCCAGTGTATTTTTTTTTCTTCAGTCAAACATGTAATCGATTAATCTAATTGCAGTTGCCATTGCAGTGTCAGGCTGTGCGATTATATAACCGCATAAAAGGCTGCGATTTGTGATTTAATGTAAATAAATGTTAACGTGTGTGCCTGTGAACGTGACTGCCTCTGTAGTGTGTGTGGAGTTTGTTGACATCACGCCCACAAGCTATCCTGGTGTTTGCAGCACGTATGGTCAGGTGATCACCCAGCGTGCAGCAGTGACCAACATATACGCTGAAAAAGAGCATGAGCACGACCAAGAACAGGCTGAGTTATTGGCAAAAAAAATGCCTATTAATTTGCGATCCTTTGGATTCAGGTACGGCAACGTTGAACAGAAAGACGTGCTGTGTAAAAGTTTAAAAGTTAAAGTCACCACATCCTGCGGCAACACGACCAGTCTATATCAGCACTTGAGACAGCACAGCACAGAGAAACGTAGGAAGAATGCATGTGAGAGAAAATCAAGCCAAGTAACGTTAAAGACAAAGAGACAACTGAATGCCGCCAGAGCCTCATATAACAACATCCAAGCACAGTTAAGCATACATTTGCAAGTGTCACGGGGAAATCACAGACTCCATAACAAACTATATAATAACAAATTAAATATTGAGCAATTTTGCTCGGGTTCGGCCCTCTTGTCATGCTGCTGTGTTGTGCTATGGCATGCTGTAATTTTGTCATTTACGTGACAACGCCTGAATGCAACACTGGCTCGCTCCACTGTGTGTACAGTGCTGCGCTGCGCTGTTGTGTGAGAGCTGTGTTTGACTGTGCTCAGTCTGTTGATGGTCATTTACACACTGTCCATAACAATAACTATGTCAGGTCAGGTCAGTACCCCCATAATATAATGTAGGGGAAACACTGAATTAAACAAGACGACTCATGATACGTACATGGTATGTATTATATTGTAATCGTAATCACAAATCGCGATATTGTCCACTCAAATCGCCATCGCACATTTTTATCAAATCGTGCAGCGCTAATGCAATCAGGGCTTGAGGCTAACTTTTTTCCCAAGGAGCACATGTGGTCCTAAGTTGAAAAAGTAAGGAGTGCACAAAGAACTTTAGGGGCACAATGTAATAAACGTGATGCAAATAGACATTTACAAGCAAAATTATTTAATGAATTTGTATACAAAATGTACAGAAAAGTAAAACCATCAAGTTTTGAAAAAGTATTGCAATTTAATTTTGTCTTTAATGTTATTATCTTATATTTATTATCTTTGCAATATGATCAGGGTTCAACGCTAAGGTTTTTTTTCACTTGCCCGGTTGGGCAAGTTGGT